TTGCACCACACGCACCGCTGCCGTCCTGCCTGGCTGCATGGGCGGAGCACCGTAACTGTTTCTGTTTTGTTTCCATTGCATTGAGTGGGCGACCTCTCTCTCTCCCTGTGTGTGTGTTTTGCTTTACGGGAGCAATGAGAGTGTGTGCGCTGGTCGACCCACGCTTCGGCTTTGTTTCTTGTTTTCTTTTTTATTGCTTTATTTGTGTTGTGGTTGAGTGCACCCATTCCGCGGACTGCGTGTTTAATGATATGAGTAATTTGCGTGTGTGCTATCTCCTTTTCTCTGCCGTTGCTTTATTTGGACTCTCTTGTGGCGCACAGCTGCTCTGCATGTATAGGCGCTGACAAGCACACAGGCACATGCACAAGCAAATGCACATAAGCCATGTCGCACACACGTGGGCTACCCCTGCACTGATAGAGAAGCTCTTAGCGCGCTTTTGAATGTCGCAGCGGGCACCATTGGACTCGGCGTGTTGGCGCCTGTGGCTGCCTTTGGCGACGCTCCGATCCGCTCTGTTGGAAGTGCCGGCGTGGTCGTGGGGTGGCGGGAGAGCAACGGCGGACACGGTGACCTCTACGCAGTGAGCTCACAGTAACTTCCTCGGCCAGTGGCAGTGCGGATGGAACTGTCATAATGATCGCACCGCCGGCACGCTTGTTGTCGAGTTCCCCGAAAGGAGAGCAGTGAAAGAAGGTCCGTCCGCATGACTCTTTGCATCTCCGCCTCAGGGCTGCGCATCACAATCGGGGTTGCCGTGCGGTTATGCAACAGGGTATGATCTGCTGGGAGAGCGCGCTGTGCGATGCTCCTGCACCTGGGACTGGTGCTGTGCCGTTGGTGGATGTTGAGTGGCCGATCACACAAATATTGCGACACCACGAGGAGAAAGGACCAAACACCCCGCGTGGAGGGAGCGGTGCGTCTGGTGATGACTCTGTGCGACGGTGATGGACGTTCTCTCGACGACGGATTGACGGTTCGTCTATTTGGTGGAGTCGGTGCCCAAGCTGTGTGTATGGCCGCCTCTGTGGTCTCCTGTTGCTCCGCTGCGTGGGCCGCATTCTGACGCATTACTGGCTCAAAGCCATTTTGTTTTTCTTACTCTTCTTTTTCTTTTGTTTCTCTCTTCCCGCATCCAGGCTGCGCTGCTGCTGCTACTCACACGAAACCAAGAAATGCATTTTACTCAAGTCATGCGCCAGCCACGCCACGCCACACCGCCTTTCCCACTGGTGGTGTTGCTGCTGATGTGCTGCGCCAGTGGGTGTATTGCTGATGCACCCGCCACACAATAACGCTGTGGATTTGACGTGATGATGAGGAGGAACGGCCCGCTGTCGACTGCGGTGGTGCGTGAGGTGCCGCGCAAGGGACAGGGCGCGATGCAGGCGTACACCGTCGCCGCAAAGGATGACGACAGTGGCTGGGAGCCGATCAGCATCGCGGTTTCCATGGAGGATCTGGAGAGGCATGAACAAGAGGAAGCACTGCGAAGAGGGAGAGGATGAGTGCTACAACGCGTTGGGGCAAAGGGTGTCATGCACAGCAGAGCATTTCCTGACGGAGGCAAAGACACAATTGTACACTGGGAGGATTCTCTTCGGTGCCGTCAAACTGCACACTGAGCGACTCCTTGTGAAACCCACTGGTGGGACGATAACTGTACCGAGGGCTATGAATGGACCGTGCAGCCATTTCACGGTTCCTACCAGGCACAAGAGCGACGGTGTGTCGAATGCAGGTTTTATCATCTACGCTGCTGCTGGGCCATCAGGCACGGATAGCAGGGCTGTGTGGGCGGCCACGTGTAACACACTGAGTGATCTTCGTCCTTCCATTGGCGCCATGAAATTTGATCTGAAGTACATGACTGACACGGCGTGGAGCGTTCGCGTTGCCGCACACGAAATTGCGCATGCACTTGGGTTCAGCCAGGAGAGCATGAGAGAAAAGAGCCTGGTGAAGAAGCCAGAGAGAAGTGTGCGTGGGAAGCACCGCAGGATGGTGGCAGGGAAGCACGTTCAGGAGAAGGCGAAAGCGCACTTTGGTTGTAAGTCTCTCGAGGGCATGGTGCTGGAGGACGAAGATGGCCCTCGGGAAAAAGCGATTCTTCACTGGAAGGGACGCCACGCGCGGGACGAGCTGATGGCCCCACAGTTGGTGCCGGCTACTACATGGCTCTGACGATGGCGGTTTTTGCTGATATGGGATACTACCGTGTGAATTGGAGGATGGCGGAGCCGATGAGCTGGGGCCACCGCAGTGGCTGCGACTTCCTGGTCAACAAGCGCAATACAACCGATAATATTGCCGCAAAGTATCCTCACATATTTTGCGATGCTAAAGACACAGAGACGCTCCGCTGCACCTCCGACCGCCGTCACGTTGGGACGTGCACCGCAAGCATCGTTGAGGACAAGGGGAGTCTGGTGGATAAGGACGTTTGCCCTGTCGTATCTTCCGAATTTCACGAAATATCGTCTGGGACAACGTACAGGACGTGCTCGGACGAAAATGTGGATTATCTCCGTGGGTCGCTGACTGGCGGCGGCTCGTGGTGCCTGGACGCAGAATTACTGGAGACGAAGGACGGTGATGGACATAAAAGCGTCAAGGGAGTGTGCGCGCAGGTGTCGTGTGAGGAGGGCACAGTGAAGGAGAGGCACCTCGGCAGCAGTGTTTTTCAGCCTTGCCCTGAGAACACTGACATCCCAGTGACGTTGAAATATTTTAAGAAAGATGGGAAAATCAAGTGCCCCAATTACGGCGAGGTGTGCACCATTGCCGCGAACGGCAGCAGTCTTGTCATCCCGAGCGCGTTGGTGGGTGGACAAGGTGACGAGCAAGAGAAGGAAGCAGAAGAGTCTGCGGTTGCTTCAGGGTCGCCTTCTCCGGAGAATACTCGTCCACAGTTGTCTCCAGTGGCGTCTGGTGCCTCCATTGAAAAGGAGCCTCCTGGTGCTTCGGCTGCGGGTGTCGCTGGTGGTGGCCTTCATGCCGGTCCGAGGGGTGATCCGGGGGTGCGGACCGAAAGTGGGGACAACACTCAGCGGCGAGGGAGGAGACCTGGCAGTGGAAGCGACGGAGCCAACAGAGCCTCCGGCCACGACGCCTTTTTTTTGCGCCATCACCCGGCGAGGACGTTGCACGAGCGGAGTGCGACCCGCGGGCGGATTGCCCAGCGGTGATTCCCAGTGCCTCCGCGCCTGCCACTCCGATTCCGTCCGTCAACAGCGACGATTTTCAGGCGATACCCGATGCGTTGGTACAGCAGGCCGACAGTGATGGCGGTGTGGCTGCTGCTACTGCTGGCCTCATTCCCTTTGTGCTTCTTGTTGTGGTCGCTGCGGCGGTAGTGGTGGTGCCTCTTTGAGCAGCCGCGGCGGCTGGGCGCAATCAAACTGCGGCAGGGCGACAGTATTTAGTTGGCACATTGGCCCCGCACTCAAGATGCGCAAAACCGTAGCAATAACACTATGATACACTCACTGCATTCCCCGTTTCCTTCTTTGCTTGCGGGGGATGGGCAAAATGACCGGTCTTTCATTGCATTGTTTTTTATTCTGGGAAAAGGTGTTTTTGTTTTATTGCCTAGAGGGTTTAACTTTCGTGAAAACTGTGTGTGAATGAAGTAACATGGAGAGAAAAGACATTTCCCAGCACCACATGTATACACTCGTTTTTTGATGCGATTGGGACGAGGGGAAACCACCGTACTCTAATCGTGAGTAAAAAGTAAAGGAAATGTGCTCCAATGGAGGCGGGGTCGTGCCGGTAGCTGTTTCTCTGAAGGGCAGGGACGACTGCCTCTGCCTCCGTAATTGGTGCATGCGGCTTTATCTTTTACACTTTTGCTTGTTTTTGTGATTTTTTTTTGTGCGTCATTGCGAGAATGTGGACCTCAAATAATTTCTGTGCTTTGGCTTTTAATCTGTATGCGTCCTTTTTATTTTTTTGCCTTCCCGAGTTTTTGCATCCGTTTTTGATTGGCCGTGTGTGTTTCGGGTGCTCTGCTGCACTGTGGGTAGTGTGTCTTACTTCCTTCTGTCCCTGCTGTTCTGATTGTGAGAACACGCTGTAGGTCAGGGTGCATGGCTCCGTGGTTGCGGCACTATTTGTTGTGGTTGCGTTGGGGCAGCCCCGACAAGACTGCCAACGTGTGGCTCTTGGGTGTCTCGTTGGGCTCTTTTCCGTCTCCTGCGCGATGGACTCCCGTCTTCGGCGCACCCTTTCGTGCAGTGGCCTCAGCGCAACAAGGTGGCAGTTTTGTTGCTGTTGCTGCTTCAGCTGTTTTGTGTTTCCCTCTGGTATTGTGAGGTGCAGGTGTCGGATGTGGCGGCAATGAGCCGAAGAGAAGGAAGGAGGAGGAGGATGCTGCGTGCGGGAGGGCCCTGCGGTGTTGGAGCGGTGCGCACTGTTTGCGGGCTTGATGCGCCCCTTTGGTGCATGGCGTGTCTTGGTGTGTCCTTCTTGCCGTGTGTGGTGCCAACCGGCTCTTCACGATTGTGGCAATGGCGTGTTGACAGCGGTGTTTGGGTTGGCGTTGGCTGTTCCACCCTCTGGGGCTACGAGGACGTATGCGTCACAATGAGCGACACCAATCGCGCACGACGCCTGGTCTGCAAGCAAGTGACGCACCGATTGCCGACGCGGCGCGGCCCTCTTGTCTTTTTCGTCCCTCTGGTAGTCTACAGTCTGATGTTTAGACGTAGTGGTCTCCTCTTTTCTCACTCATTTTGTGTGTGACCGCATGCACTAACCACAACAATTGTACAACACAAGTATTACAGAGTGCAGTCTTGTGTGCCTGTTGCCGTGGATTGGAGTGTGTGTCGTGCGTGGTGTGCGGCGTACGGTGCATGCCTGGCTGCTGCCCTCTCCTCATGTGGTGTGCCCTCTGTGTGTGTGTCTGCCGCACCTCTCGTCTCCCCTGTTGCTCTCCATGTCCCTTGCTGTGCAGGTCAGCTCCACACCACTGAACGACCACACTCACGATGATGACGTGCCGTCTGCTGTGCGCCCTGTTGGTGCTCGCCCTGTGCTGCTGCCCGTACGTGTGCGCGACAGCGGATGGTGAAGGTGTTAATATCCTCGGTCAACCGCTGCCTCAGCCAGGAGTGCAAACTCCGAGCAGTAAGCAACTGCAATCAGATAATTCCGGTGTGGCGGGGTCACAAAGTAATTCCGATACAACAAAGGGACAAAATCAGGTAACTGGTAGAGGAGGAGGCGAAAACTCCCTCTTAACCCCTCCTGCGCCAACGAGAGAAAGTGCTACGTCCGGTACGAAAGAGTCCACAGATCCGGAAGCCGGCAGGACACAGGAAACAGATGCAATGACCGGAACCGGAGTGTTACAAATACGGCCCAGAGACGCAGAGTCACCGGATTCGAGGACCGTTACAGCGCCAAGTACGGCCACTACGGGAATGTCACCAACTCCTCCAAACGAACTGGAAAAAAATTCAGCAAAAAGGATCACTGCGCCAGCTACGACCACCACGACTACAACGACCACCACTACAACACAGGCACCAAGTACTACCACGACTACAGAGGCGCCAACCACGACGACCACCCGCGCACCGTCACGTCTTCGCGAAATGGACGGCAGCCTCAGCAGCTCTGCATGGGTGTGTGCCCCGCTGCTGCTCGTCGTATCCGCGCTGGCGTACACCGCTCTGGGCTGAAGAGGTGTGTGGGCTGTGCGTGCCAGCACTCAACCGCGGGGATTTGTGCGCGTCTACTGTGGTCCGATGTAAATAAATAAGAGAAAATAATGATTGTGTGTTTTGCTTCATTTGCTTCCGCTGCCCTGCTGTGTGCTCCTTGCCGCTCCCCGCATCCGTCATGTTGAACGCATCCCAGACACTCTGGTATGTACTACACGCACACAACTGCTTGCATGGACGCATGTCCGTGTGTGAATGCATGCACACTGGAGCCATACTGTGCAGCCCTTTGTTTTTTGTGTGTTTTTACATTTTTTACTGTTGCTGTTTGTTTACCTGTGTTTTGTTTTTATTTTTTTTTTTGCTGATTATTAATTGCTGCGGGGCGTTTTGTGTGTTTTTGCCCTTTTACTGATTCTAACTGCCTCATGGTGTATGTGCTGCCGCTGCCGCTGCTGCCTTCATTTGTCACTGTGTGGTGTGAATTGTCTCTTCTTTTGCCTTTCACTCTACGTTGACGGGGCGTTAGTTTGTGCTGAAGGCTGCACGCAAGTGACAGGAGTGATGGCGATGATGATGACTGGCCGTGTGCTGCTGGTGTGTGTCCTCTGCGTGCTGTGGTGCGGTGCGGTTTTTGGACACGCTGAGGGTTTGGCAGCTGTTGGTGGCAGCTCTGGTGGTGACAACAGTCCTGGAAGTGAAGGTGGCTCACGTGGAGGTCCTGAAGTAAATTCCTCTTTGGAGCCTCTTTCTGTTGTTGGAGGTCCCAAAGGAAATATGATGTCTTCGTTGGAAACTTCTCTCTCTGTTGGTAGTATTCCTCCAAATTCTCTTTCCGAAGAGGGTGATGGTCTACAGTCCCTTGGCGATACGCTCAATTCTGAGGACGAGGTATCTTCAGATGTAAGTGGTCCGTCAGTACAAACAAAAACGCCTGGACAGTCCGATTCGCCCATCGTGAAGGCACCGGAGAAGTCAGATCCCAAAATAAAAACGCACATCTCTGATAAACAAGGAGAAGCAGGAAGTACAGAGGATAATGAGGATGCAACAGAAAGCGAGAAAAGGCATAGTGAGGTGGTGAAGAGAGACATTTCCAGCGCCCTCCAATCACCGCCAACACCGCCAGTACCGGCGTACCCAGCAGAAGAAACCCCACTAGCACCAGCAAACTTACGGAATTCAGTAGAAGAAAAGCGAAACACACCGCCGTCACAAACCAAAACGGATCCCGAGGCACCAGAACCGTCTCTAGAGGATGCTGAGGCAGAGAAACACGGTGAAGGAACAACCAAATCCGATTCGATGAAGGATGCAGCTAAAGGCCGTTCAGGAGATTCAACACCATCATCCATCTCTACAAGTGACAGCGTTGACGCCCAGAGGAAGGCGGAGGAGGAGGATGACAATGAGATGGAAGCCCTCAATCCCAATGAAGCCTCTATTTTACCTTTGGTGAACAAAAATGGTCAAGGAAACGTGATTCCATCTTTTTCTGCTGAACAGCAGGAGCAAAAAGGACAGCCGTTGGGGAAAAGCGGTGCGGGCGGTGTACCCGCATCACCACTGTCCACTGTAACGAGTTCCTCAGCAGGCAAGGAGTCCGTAAAGCATTTGACACCAGGAACATCTCCTGATGGGCATCAAAATGTGGATGGCGGTTCTACTGCTGATGGCTACCAAACGGTGAGCACAGGATATGGAGATAAAACGCAGGAGGATGGACCACACAAAACTCCTACGGGAAACCTTGCCAAAGCAGATGCAAATGGCCCTACAACTATGGGCGTGGGGCAAGATGGAACCGCAGTGAATACTGAGGTGGGTGCGAGCTCCGCTGAGGATGAGGAGACGGTGGCAGGAAAGAATGTGCAGGAGGAAGAGGTCCAGCCACAGAACATGGATGTGAATGGTGCGGCACTCAACAGCAGCCTCGGACATTTGTCGCAGGGGAACAACAGCGATGCTGGCACTGTGCGTGGGAGCGGACTGCTGCCGCTGCTCCTGTTAGGACTGTGGGGGTTTGCGGCTCTGTGAAGCGTGACTGGCTGCCGCGTGGGACAATTGCGACCTCCTCAGCAGAGACTTTCTTTCCCATGGGAACAAATTTCTTTCATAAATCTTTTTTTGCGTATTTTAATTTTTTTGCTACTTTTTTTCTGTTATTAATTTTTGCATTTTAAATCTTTTGCTCCACCATCCCTTCTTTTTTGCTTTTTGGGGGCAATCAATATGGACGTTTTTTTCTTTTCTACTCTTCCCTCTTTTAATTGTTTCTTGCTGCACTCTTCCTGTGAGGGGTGCCGTGTGTTTCCCGCCCAACTGCTCCACTCGCACACCCACCGACACGCTCATGACGGCGGCCCTGTGCGCCTCGCCTGCTGCACGCATGAGGAGGGTCCGCGACGAACGGCGCGCTGAGGGAGCCGTGACGTGTGGGCGTGCGACGAGGGCCTGTGGGGCGGAGCACACATTTCTTTCCCTCTTGTTTTGTTTTCTTTGCGGCCAGGGCGGGCAGACATCCGCAGCGCCACACACACAGCCACACCCTGCCGCCGTGTTTTTTTTTTTTTTTTGCTTTGCGTGTGCATTTCACGCGCCGGCAGTCCCTTTCGGTGTCGGCCTCGTGAGCATTTCTTTTCCCCTGATGAGTTTTTTTTTTCTTTTGCTGCGCTCACTCTCCCGATGGAGTGACGCGACTCCCGTCATGTCTGCGTGCTTCTCTCAGTCCCCATGCACACACGAGTGACTGAGCTCTGCGGGCCGCACTCACACGCCGATGGGAGGGCTGAGGGGAGCAGCAACACGCAGATGACCCCATGAAATATAAACGATGTGCGGACACGCAGAGGGTCAGACGGTTGAAAGACATTTAAATACGTTTTAATTTTATTTGCGGGCAAAATATATGCAGACAGTTTGGTGTGGCCACAAGGCAGCCGGCAGCTTTTTAAATTTGTGTGGAACAGTAATGGACGATTTCTTTCTTTTATTTATAATTAATTTGTGTGATCGGGTTTGTGTAAGACGAAGGGGAACGGTTTTTTGTTTTAAATAAATTTTGTGTGAGTTGCCGCTGCTTGGGCTGCAGTGCAGTCATGAGTTTGAGCGGTCTTCTTCTTGTTGTTTCCGCCACGCACCTCCGCTGTACATTTTTTTGCGTCTCTCCACATACTCTGCTCTCTTTTTTCTACTTTTATGCTTTGTGTTTCTGCAGGCACACACACACAAGATGCACATTGCAGTGGATTTGAATGCTTCTTTTGCAGTGCATGCTGGCAGTTGCGTGTGGCGGCTGTTGTCCTCCTCCGTTGCCATGAGGAGAAGGGAGGAGGGAGAGGGAGTGCGCAGTCCGAGTCTCTTTTTCCGCGGGTGTGGTGCACCGCGTGTGACTGCGTTGAGTTGGGCTCCGTGTCCCATTGAGGGCGGGATGGCTGGAAATTTTGTTGCCGCGTCATGGATGGATGAGGGTCCACTGGCGCGTGTGGCTGGTGTGGTGGGTGCTCGCTCCGTGTGCGTTGTATGGTGGCCGCGGGCCTTTGGCATTTCCCGTTGGTTGTGAAAATGAGCTGGGAGAATATGGTGGTGGATATCTTCTCCTCGTGCATGGTGGGTGGCTGCTGGCGTTGTGTGCCTTTCTTGCGTGGATGCTGCCCCGTGGTGTGTGAACTGTGCGGCTGGGCCTGCTGCCATCTCCTCATGTTGTCTGCCCTCTCTCTCGCTGTATCCGCTGCACTCCGTCCCTCTCCCTCTTGTTGCATTCTTTTTCTTCTGCCTCACGGATCATCTGAATGGCTCCAGCGACTCCACTACGGGTGACGATGACTGCGATGGTGACGGTGCGGCGCCGTGTTGGTCCTTGCGCTCTTGTGCTGCTGCTGCTGCCCGTCCGTGTGCGTGACGGCTGCTGGGAGTCCTGGAGATGTATCTGGTGATGCGGATGCGGTGGTTGTGCCGGTGGATGTGTCGTGTGCTCCGAGTGACGGCAGCCTGAGCTATCACGTGCGTGTGTGTGTGTGCGTGGAAGAAGTGTTCTGCTGCCAGTGCTGAGGCTCAGTGTGAGAATTACACTTTCAGTGGCTTTGGTGTGCGCATGCATGGCAGGAATGGTGAGCTGGGTGCTGTGTGCCATGTGGCCAATGCGGTGCACACATGTAGCAACTGTGCTGCCAGCTGTGCAACGGAAGAGGAAGGGGCCACCGTTGCTTTCACGATGAATGGGACGATACATAAATACGCCGGCCCTTATGAATTGTGGTGGCGCCAATTTTCCCCCGACGGAACCATCCATCCGCCTGCACGGAGCAGCGATGCTGACCAGACGGTCATCTGTCAGTTGCCGCCGCCCGTGAAGGGAAGGATGACACAAAATCTGGTGGGACAACTGCGCCGCAAGTTAATGCTGAGCCGTCACGTCAGAACGAGGATTGGCGACAGTCTGCGGCGGCTGACGGACCGAACACCGTCGATCCGAGTCCCGCATTCAACACGGCGACCAACACGTCCGAGACGAGGCCTGAGTTTGCCAGCAATCCGAACGAAATGATGGTCCCGAATGCATCCAAGAGGCCTTCCTTTGCCAACGGTCCGAGAATAGTAGTGGCGTCGAATGCATCCGGGATCATGTCTGTCACTTATGGCGGCAGGGAACACGTTGCTGCGGATAACACGGACGAGGTGAATGAGCGCAACGCCACTGGACACAAATCTCTCGTTTTAGAAAATGGCACTGCAGGCAGTGGATTTGTTGCTGAGGGTGATGCGGACGGATTGACTCAACGCAATGCCTCTGGACACGAAAACCCCAATTACGAGAATTCACCGCGCAGTATTCCGAGAGCGGTGTGAGTCCCAACGACTGCTTTGCCCTGCTCTACGACGCGAAATTGACACTGCATGAGTTAACTGTTGACGGCACTGTGCGTGTGTGCGTGTATTGGGTGCTGCTGCTTCTTCTGGGATTGTGTGGAGTTGTGGTGGTCTTTTGAGCCAAAGAGTGTGGAATTGCGACTTTTCACGGGGAACATGTGCCGCGTTCTTTGCGTGTTAATTTTTTATTACTTTTTTACTGCTAGTTTTTTTCCTGGAATTATAAGCACCATTTTTTATTTAATGGTTGGTTGCTGCACACTCTCATGTTTGACGTGCCTCTTTGTTTTGTTGTTTGTTGCCCACACGCGGTGCCGGCCTCATTGCTGTGCGTCCCACGGACTGCACGAAAGGAGGATTGGAGGAACAGGCCGGATGCCGCAATGAAGTGCGAGGGATGTTGTGTGGGCTCAGGGAGCAGCACGATCTTTTTTATTTGATTTCTTTTCTTGGTGAAGGCATTATGTACACAGACACACACGGTTGCCTTGTGCTGCTTAGCATAAGAAATAGAATTTCTGTCCGATTGATTTTTCATATTCCTCCCCTGGAGTTTTGTTGGACTCCTATCATTTTTTTTTCTGTGTTCTTTTTTTTTCCGCCCTTTTAAGTTTTGGTTTGCGGGTCGGTGTGTGAGTTCTGCGGTTGTAATGATTCCATCTGTCCTTTTTTGTTTGCGCTTCTTCTGGCTGCTGCCATTTATTACCATGCGGTGGCTGTGCGTGGTGTAGCTGCTGTCTCTCTGTACTTCCTTTCTCATGCAGATCGAATCCAAGTTATTCAACAACGATAGTTTCGAAGATGATGCGCCGTATTTTTTGTGTTGTGTTGGTGCTGGCACTGCTGTGCTGCTGCCCGTGCGTGTTTGCCGTGAAGGAAGGGGAGGAGCAAGAGCCGCAGGTAACGCAGGTGAATGCAGAGTGTGCGGGTGACGGTAATGTTGCGCGTTGGCAGCTCCCCGGGAAGTCATTGTGGTACAACTGCTCGGATGCAGCTCCTGGTGCGGGACAAATGATTTGCAGCATGGGCGACGGAAACTGTGCGTCCGAGGATGTTCGGAAGCGTATCAAAGGAGTTGCGAAGGATGGCGTCTTCACAATCAACGTCACATCGCCCACTCCAGACATTCTGGAGAGTTGGTGGAAGCGTAAAGTGGAGCCGAAGGCGGCCACCGTTGAAAGTGTTCCGGCCAAACCTTTGGAAGCAGAACCTCCGAGCCCTCCAGAGGACAATATTTCTCGTGAAACATCTTCCAGACCGGATTCTGAATCTTCTCCTGCTGTCGTTCAGGTTGCGACTGGTGCCCCTCCTCCTCCTCCACCTGCAACTCCAGGCGGCGCTGGTGCTGACTCTGCTGCTGGCGCTGCGGCCTCGCAAGCGTCGGATCACGCTCCCTCTGGTGAACTTCAAGGCCCTTCACATTCTGCCTCTGCTGCTTCTCCTGCACCCGAATCCATACCAGACCCGGAGCTCACAGAGAGCGGCGACCACTCCTCCCATGACCCCCCAGTGGAGCTGCAGGAAGAGAATGCTGCTGCGCCACCGACTCAGTTGTCCCAGACCGGCGAGGACGGGGGTGCAGCGGAAGGCACCGAAGAGGACGCCGCCGCCAACACCACCGACACTGATTCTAGCGAAGGAAATTCTACGGCGGCAAGCACGCCGGCTCCTCTTTCCTCTGCGCCCACAACGAACGCGCTGGAGAACAGTGTGGGAACTGACGCCTGCTTCCATGACACCCATCTGCATGCCCGGCTGCTGCTTGTTCTGGCTGCACTCACGTACGGGACACTGGGCTGAAGAAGTGAATGCGGGCTATTAAAGCCGGCACTCAACCACGGGGATTTGTGCGTTTCTTTTGTTTTACAGAGTAATAACTAATAGAAAATAATGATTGTGTGTTTTGCTTCATTTGCTTCCGCTGCGCTGCTGTGTGCTCCATGTTGTTGCTCCCTCTGTCCGTCACTTGGCACGCATCCCAGACACACTCATATGCACGGCACGCCCACAACTGTTTGCGTGGACGCATGTCTGTGTGCTGTTGCATGCACACTGGAGCTATACTGTGCATCAGTTTATCTCTTGTGGTTTTACCTTTTTTTTAATTTATTGCTGTTTGTTTACTCGTGTTTTTTTAAATTGCTTTGTGTTTATTTTTCTTGCTGATTCATTGCTGCGGGGCTGTGTGTTTGTGTGCGTTTTTTGTCCTTTCGCTGATTGCAACTGCCTCATGTTGTGTGCTGCGCTGCTGCTGTTTGTTACTGGGGCTGTGAGTGGCTGTGTGACTTGTCTCTTTTTTGCTTTCACTCTCCGTTGACGTGTTGTTAGTTTGTGCTGAAGGCTACACGCAATTGACAGGAGTGATGGCGATGATGATGACTGGCCGTGTGCTGCTGGTGTGTGCCCTCTGCGTGCTGTGGTGCGGTGCCGACGGAGGCGAATGCACTGAGGTGGTGAAAGCGCCTGCCGGTGGTGCTGGAGGTGGGAGTGGTGGTAAAAGTGCGGTGGAGACTGCTGAAAATTCAACGTCAGGACCAGACACATCAGATTCACCAATAGATGTATCCAAGGTTAATCAATCAACAGAAGCGTCTGGAGGAAAATCTTTGGAAGGGAACGGAGTTAATGTTGATCAACAGGATGTTGTTCCTGGAGTGGAGGAGGAAGATGGAAGCCCTTCAGGGCGTTTAGAAGAAACTGTGGTGAACGATCCAGGAAAAGAAAATACAGAACGGCCATTACAAAACGTGGGAAAAGAAGGAATACAGCAGCCACAATTGCAATTGAATTTATCAAAGCAACCGCAGCCACCACCGCAACAGTCACAACCGCTATCGCCATCAGCACCTCAGCCACACACTTCTGCTTCAGAAGAGGGTGAAGGTGTTGGCGAGAACAATACGGGTGGAGAAGGTCAGCCCTCATTGGGAGCACAAGATATTGGAAACGAGGATTCAAAGAACCACAGAAAAGAAGACTTATTAGAGAGTTCAGGTATAAAATCACAAAGCAGTGAACAGGCCCAGACGACAGTGCCAAAGACAGTACCGCCGGAGCACAAAACTCAAAATGAAGAGTTAACTCCGGAAAAAAAGACGAATGAAAGCCAAAGCACGGATACATCCACGAACCTACCCAAACAACAAAAGGAAAATAAGGAATATCCTGCCTCTACGGAAGGTACGGCGCAGAGTACATCAACTGGCAGTCAAGAACAAGAAGCTGAGCCATCTACAAGCGAAGAACCTTCCCCTTTTGAGGAGGAACAATCCACAGGGACGAAGACAAACGAGGATGCTCGAACTCCGGATGCTGCAGCGACAGAAAAACGCCAAACTGGAGATAATGAAAAGGTTGGCGACAGTGACGGCAGCACCGCGGTGTCCCACACCACCTCCCCTCTTTTGCTTCTTCTTGTTGCGGCCGCTGCGGCTGCGGTGGTGTCCGCGTGAGAGTGAGTGAGAGAGAGCCATGCACCGCCCGCACACACACTCGTCCTTCACTCACTCTCTGTGTGTGTCCCCTTGCATGGACTCTCGCCCTCACCCCATCCCACGAAGCACACACATAATGTGCCCATTGTATATATTGCATGCACACCCATGCAGGCCCGTTGGTGCTCTCTTTTGCACCACACGCACCGCTGCCGTCCTGCCTGGCTGCATGGGCGGAGCACCGTAACTGTTTCTGTTTTGTTTTTATTGCATTGAGTGGGCGACCTCTCTCTCTCTCTCCCTGTGTGTGTGTTTTGCTTTACGGGAGCAATGAGTGTGTGTGCGCTGGTCGTCCCACGCTTGTTTTTTTTTTTTTAGTTTTATTGCTTTTGCTTCTGTTGTGGTTGAGAGCACCTCTTTCATTTATTTATTTATTTTTGTCTTGCCTTGACTGCGGACGTCCAAAATGTCCTTTGTTCGATATTTTCTTGTTGTTTCTTCCTCTCTTGTTGGGAGAGTGTCAGTCTCTCGTATCCTTGTCACGCCAAGTTTTTTTTTTTTTTTTGACATGCGTCATGCGTCAGTTGATCTACTTTACTCTGCGGCCTGCATTGCTTCTGGTGTTGCTATTGATGATGTCTGCGATGTTATTTTTCGGCGGATGTCTTGCTGTCAGCCTGACGTGTCCTTCGTTCCTTGACGATTTGTTGCGTACAGACGGTGCGTGGGCGTCTCTGGTGATAGTGAGGGACGCGTTCCTCAGAGCGCAGGATGCGTCGCGGGTGTGCGGCGTCGTTTGTGAGGACCGATGGGTGCCCGTCCGCATCCAGGCGTCATCAACGGACCGTGAGGACAGCATAAGGCACTGCGGCTTCTTTTGGTGTTGCACAAAGAATTTATTGGACGGTGCGTTTGTTTTCAATCTTTTGCAGCTTTTGTGGGGGAAGGTGGGAGTTTGAGGGCATGAGGACTGAATTCATTCGAGTGGCTGCGTTCCGTTGAGTTGCGGCCAGTCGTGGCACTCTTTCGGGGTTTGGCGGCTCGTCTCTTTTGTTTACTTCCCACCGCAGCAAGTGGATAACACGAATCCGAGGAACATTTGTTTGACCGCGTGTGGGCTGCTGCCGTGCGTGGGGCATGGACTATGTGATTGTGTGGGGAGGTGCGTTGGGGTGACGAATACTTCTGTTTGGCGTGTCGCGGTGTGTCGGAATGATGTTAGGATGACATGTGGATGGTGTTGTTTGTGATTTTTGTGTCTTCTCTGGTGGAGCCGACATTTGTGCGGGGATTGTGGCATTGCTGGCTGACAGCTCCACGTCACTTTTCAGCATTCCTGGATGTGCTGAGGAATGCCGGCTGGCGCCCAGCGTGTTGGTGCTGCTGGTGGGAATAAGTGCATCGGGAATTGGCCACTTTCTCTTTTCCGTGCTGGAGCCGATGAACTGGCACGAGGGCACCGGCTGCAGACTGCCTGCCAGCACGTGTGAGCAGCGGATCCATGCACACACAGACGCTCATCGCAAGAGCGTGTGCGATCACCGTGGCCTTTTGTGGCGTGCTTTTGTGGGCGTCAGCTCATCGAAGAATGTGTGAAGCAAACGGCTGACTGCACACGAGGAAAATGAGTGCGTGCACTGTGCCGTGTTTCATCGTCGATGGCAGAGCGGCAGGAAGCCCGTGCTGGCAACTGAGATCTTTGCGTCGCGAGGGATGTCGGTGTTGATTTTGGATCGTCGAGGGTGAAGTGATTTTGCTGCTGCCCGTGTGTGTGACCACTCCGGCAGAGGGCGGACACAAAAGGGAGGGATGGAGGCGCTGCGTGTGTGTGTGTGTGCAGGTGCCATGCAACAACGTCACAACAAACATGCTGCGACTCGGTGACCCTCACATTGTTGTGGTCCTCACGAACAGCCGAGGCACGGCCCACACCGATGCACTTAGTGGACGGAGTGAGGCATCTTTTGAGGCGCTGCAGGGAACAGGATGTGTTGACGCAGCCACGACGTGCATGGAGTGTCACGATGGCACAGTCAGCTGTGGCTGGTGGAATATTTACTTCTCGGAGGCAACAGAGAGAGAGAGAGAGAGCTGCTCCTGCTGCTGGCGTCGTTGCTGCCTTTTGTGGCCTTCCATGCCGATTATTGTCTGTCCGCTGATCGTGGGTGGTGTGCCTCCAATAGTGACGTCGTCTGCAGGCATTTCACAGCACCAGTGAAACACACATCACGTCGCATGCTTTGGCTGTGGATATGGTGTCGTGAGTGAGAGAGAGAAGGACGAGTGTGTGTGCGGGCGGTGCATGGCTCTCTCTTCCTCACTCTCACGCGGCCTCCAACGCAGCAGCAGCCGCACATGCAAAAACAAGAAGAAGAAGCAAAAGAGGGGAGGTGGTGTGGAAGGCCGCGGTGCTGCCGTCGCTGTCTTCAGGCGGCGCCGTGTCATTTTTTCTGGAGGTGGTGACTGTTTCCGCTGTTTGTAGTGCTGCCTCACTGACTGTAGGAGCGACGTTGGTGTTGCCAGCTTCGGCGTCGTCCTGCGGTCTGTTGGGTTTGGGCTGCCGAGCATCATCCTCATCCTCCTTATTCTGGACATCGCCATTTTCATTTGCAGAGATGGATTTTGCTGTTGTTTCCGCTAAACCGCCGGCAGATGCTTTTTTCGTCGTATTCAATTGCGTTGTGACTTTATCTTTTTGCTCTTGCATACCATCCTTTGAAGGACGGTCCGGTGATTCGGACCCCGTTTTGTTGGGTGACGATGCCTTGTTCTGCATTTCTCTTTTTGAGGCCTCTGAGGCTCTTGGTGCTGTTGGTAGACCTCCTTCTCCGTCTGGATTTGCCTGTACAGGAGTTACTGGTGGCACTTCTGGGGATAGTTCTGCTGATGGAACTGGCAGTAGTACTGCCGGTGTTTGTGGTAATAATAGCGTTTTTTCTACTGTTTGGTCGCCGGTGTTAGCAAACGAACTGGAAGGATCTTCCGTCTCCACGTCACTTTGCTTTGCCTTGTTTCCAGCTGCACCCCCATTAGCATCTGAGCATTTTGCTTTCTCTTGTGTATTGGGGGGCAGTGATCCTGCTTTGGATTCTGGTCCCTTTGGTGCATTCACGTTGGGCAATGGTAACCCTGCAGGCATTGTCTTTGACCGCTCAACGTTTGCTGAAGATTGCGTGCCCTGCGAAGATGGTGCATCGGGGGCGGGAGATAAAAAAGTACCATCCGCAGAAAGAGAAGAATCCGAGAAATCACCTCGAGGACTGCCAATGTCGACTCCGCCTTTTCCCGCTCCACCAGAGAAAGAGCCAGTTTCACCACCGTAACCTAAACTCCCAAAAGCAGATTGATTGCCACAATTAACGGCAAGAGTCTCTAAATTCGAGCCTCCACCTCCAATGGAACTTCCACTTCCGTTGGAACCTCCTCCAGAACTGTCGGCACCAGGACCGCCACCGGGTTGAGTTCCATCCGATGCTGCTGGTGGTGGTGGTGATTGTAGTGGTGCTGGAGAAAGAGGTGAAGGTGGTGGCGGTACTTCTTCTTCTTGCGTTTGACCATCAGGTGCCCCTTCTTGTGCTTTATCTCTTTCTTCCTTTTCTTTATCCGTACCATCGTCTTCATTATCAACCACGCCCAAGACTTTATCATCTGTTTGGTGCTTTGGTGAAGGGCCTTCTAAATCTTTAACCAACGGTTGCCTCACGAGATCGGAATCTTGATTAATTGGCTCCCCGTGCTGTTTTCCTGCAGCAGCAACAGGAGTTACAGGCTGCAAGTCCCCCGATGATTTTTTTTTCTCTTCAGTAACCCGAACATCCTCGTCACATCTACCGCCAGAAGTACCGCACCACAGCACGCAGAGGGCACACACCAGCAGCACACGGCCAGTCATCATCATCGCCATCACTCCTGCCACTTGCCTGCAGCCTTCAGCACAAAATAACTCCCCGTCAACGCAGAGCAAAAGCAAAAGAAAGACACGGCGGCTACACCACACACAGTCACCACACAGTGTCAAATGGCAGCAGCCCAGCGGCAGCACACACCATGATGCAGTTGCAATCATTGAAAGGGCAAGAAAAAAAAACAATACACACAGCCCCGCAATAATTGATCAGCAAGAAAAACATACAAAAAACAATTAAAAGCAAAAAACAGTAAACAAAAAGCAATAAAGTAAAAACACAAAAAAAAAAAAAGCTGCACCAAATGGCTCCAGTGCGCATGCACCAGCACAAACAGAAATGCGTCCACGTAAAAAGTTGTATGCTTGTGGTGCATATGAGTACGTCTGGTATGCGTTCAACGTGACGGATACATGGAGCAGCAACACGGAGCACACAGCAGGGCAGCAGAAGCAAATGAAGCAAAACACAATCATTATTTTCTCTCATTTATTTACATGGGACCACAGTAGACGCACACAAATCTCCGCGGTTGAGTGCTGGCACGCACAGCCCGCATACACCTCTTCAGCCCAGAGTGGTGTACGCCAGCGCGGATGCGACGAGCAGCAGCGGGGCACACACCCACGCAGAGCTGCTGAGGCTGCCATCGATTTCGCGAAGACGTGACGGTGCGCGGGTGGTCGTCGTAGTTGGTGCTTCTGTAGACGTAGTACTTGGTGCCTGTGGCGCAGTGGTAGTCGTGGTTGTCGTGGTGCCTGTGTTGTAGTGGTTGTTGTGGTCGTCGTGGACGTCGTGGTTGTCGTAGTGGTTGTCGCATTTATTGCATTTGTTTTTTGATTTTGGTCATTTGCCTTATCGTTCTCATGACGATCCGCCTCTTCATTAGTGGATTTCTCATCTTTTTCCTGATCCTGTGCCTGGCTGAGATCACTTTGTGACTCTGCTGTTACTTTCCCTCCCTCACTTACCTTTGGCGGAAGAGGAGTTGTATTAGGCAATTGCGTCACCTGATTTGGCCCTCCTAAATTAGACTTCGTTGGATCGGAGTTTCCTCCAGAATTACCAGCAGTATCTTCATCAGACGGTGTCGCGTACACTGATAGGCGGCAGCACAGGGCGAGCACCAACAGGGCGCACAGCAGACGGCACGTCATCATCGTGAGTGTGGTCGTTCAGTGGTGTGGAGCTGATCTGCACAGTGAGGGACATGGAGAGCAACAGGGGAAACGAGAGGTGCGGCAGACACACACAGAGGGCAAACCACATGAGGAGAGGGCAGCAGCCAGGCATGCACCGTACGCCGCACACCACGCACGACACACACTCCAATCCACGGCAACAGGCACACAAGACTGCACTCTGTAATACTTGTGTTGTACAATTGTTGTGGTTAGTGCATGCGGTCACACACAAAATGAGTGAGAAAAGAGGAGACCACTACGTCTAAACATCAGACTGTAGACTACCAGAGGGACGAAAAAGACAAGAGGGCCGCGCCGCGTCGGCAATCGGTGCGTCACTTGCTTGCAGACCAGGCGTCGTGCGCGATTGGTGTCGCTCATTGTGACGCATACGTCCTCGTAGCCCCAGAGGGTGGAACAGCCAACGCCAACCCAAACACCGCTGTCAACACGCCATTGCCACAATCGTGAAGAGCCGGTTGGCACCACACACGGCAAGAAGGACACACCAAGACACGCCATGCACCAAAGGGGCGCATCAAGCCCGCAAACAGTGCGCACCGCTCCAACACCGCAGGGTCCTCCCGCACGCACGCAGCATCCTCCTCCTCCTTCCTTCTCTTCGGCTCATTGCCGCCACATCCGACACCTGCACCTCACAATACCAGAGGGAAACACAAAACAGCTGAAGCAGCAACAAAAAGAGCATTGCCACCTTGTTGCGCTGAGGCCACTGCACGAAAGGGTGCGCCGAAGACGGGAGTCCATCGCGCAGGAGACGGAAAAGAGCCCAACGAGACACCCAAGAGCCACACGTTGGCAGTCTTGTCGGGGCTGCCCCAACGCAACCACAACAAATAGTGCCGCAAC